TAATCTCCTAATTCTACAGGCTGACGGGAACATTTATTTACATAGCAGTTTGTGCTTAAGATAACAACCACTTGAGCTTTTTTTCACGTCACGTGATGACACGACTTAGATACGCCCAAGACGTTTGTGCATAAGGACGTCGTTTTATGAAATCCGCTCAAGAACAGTGGGCAAACATGCAAATATGAGCTCCTGAGCCACCTTTGGTAAGTACAAGATGTGACAGTATTTCTTTGCTTTCAAGTTCACATGTCAACAGTTTCCTCTTGGTACAAATAAAGTGGACATTCTACATACATCGCCATGGATAGTTTGTGTGGTCTTTGTATATGTCCACTGCTTACCGATGTGACGATCAGTGATTATTTCCAAATTATTTTGTCACACAATGTTTAAATTAACAAATGAAATACGTAAGTTTTAACTTAAAGGAGTCCGTTATTCTGGTCACTTCTGACCTTCATTTGCTACGTGCACGAACAGTGTAGATTACTAGGACAAAGTCCAATGATAAATAAATTGTCCTTCGACAAATAACCACAGCACCTCGTTGTAGTGCGTACACTATCGCAACTCGGTTTGCTTTTGCTCCAACTACTTAGTTATGCTTAATAAGACCCATATTTACAAACGTCGGGTGCAATACAAAATACGCACTATTCCCATATACTGTCAAAATTTATCAGTGAAATTTGTCTCATGAACTGTTTTCTCTGGGGAAAACTAGCATGGAACCGTTAAAGCCATGTACAGGGAGTTTGTTCTGCTACATACACCTTCGCCCTTTACTCTCAACCAAAGTTGAAGTATTAACAAGACATGATAGGACAAAACTGAACTAATTACATGTTGATCATTGAAAGGTTAGAGAGGCGTTGCAGCACTTTTTGCATTATTTAGTTTTGTGATTTTTTAACCTGTCACCTTTGTTAAGATGATCTCATTTTGACGAGTGAGTGACTGATTATTGCCCACGTGTTTTTTTGTTGGCATAATGTGTAACCTGACAACAAGCCTGTGTTCATCAAACATGTTGTGTCTGTGGCTATTTCAACACAATATGTATCCAAGGCAGTTTTACTTATAGAGGAAACTTTCAGTAATATATCTGATTAGCTTTATCGACAAAATCTGGTGGTTGTCCAAGTTTTACTTTATTATAAATGCAGGTTAACATGACTCATACACAGAGCTGAAAATTCAGGATACTGTTTCTATAATAAACCTCCTCAAACAGGAGCACAAAGTTACTTAACAGAGTGAGCAGTTGAGATGTCTAATAAGAGAACGGGAACGATATGGGTATATGAGGTGTTTCCGTTTGACAATATCATTAGTAACATGTTCAAGCACTGTTTGTCAACCGATACATGCCAGGCTCCTGGTTATCGATTTACTGTTCTGTTATGTTACTTTTTGACCCACTTCAGTCGTCACTACACAATCTGTCTGCTGTACAGAGCGACCCGGAAATGAAAAGAACACCTGGTATCATCACTTTTTGAAAGTGGTTCATAAACACATGCTCTGTCATCGTATCGGTGGTGACAATCACTGGATTGTCTGGTCCAGACTTAATACACCAATCCAGTCCCTGCTGATAAGCCCCGCCCACTTCGTTTTTGACGTTAGGGGAGGGACAACCACTGACTAATCACAATGGCGTCACCGCCGGCGAAACGTACGTGATTGAGAACGTTGTTGATGAATTCTGCTTGTGGTACTTTGGTATTTGTCGTTTGTTAATGATATTTAAAGAGGAAAGTTATACCACGTACGTACATTATTTTTAATATATTTTAGTTGACAGATTGCAATTGGCGAGTGAAAATGAGTTACATGCACGATGAAAAATCGTCTCGACCTCAGCCTCTTAGAGTGGGAAGCGTATTTTCTTTCGAACCAAATAATGTATCTGGCAATTCACCTCCGTCTAAGATACTAGCAGGGGAAGGGTAACTGAATTATGTTGTTTGGGTTTTGTCTCTCAAAATTCCCATCGTAATTTAATAAAAACCTTGAACACAAACACATGTTCAATTTGCAGATCGTGTCGGTATCTATAAATACATTGTCTACACTGCTCGCGGCGCCTGTATTTATTTATCCGTTGTTCAAATTTAGTTAAATCAATAATGTGAAAAACTCTACCTTTTAATGAACACAGCAGAAAAAAAAATATTTCCCGCCTACTACTTTGTGCACCTTATTTGTCTATATATATTAATGTAAAACAAATCAATCACAGCATGACCTATTTGATCTTATTTTGGAATCTGGGAAAGGTTATTGGGCTAGTATACAGTATGTTTCCATGGATGTATCTGGACATACCCAGAAGCAAATATTCAGCAGCTAATCTGCAGCAATTCTCAGTAAAATTTCCCTCTTCAAAATCTATACACCATCCTAAAATGACACTGAATATAAGAAAATCCACTTTTTAATCACCCATTACAATTTATTTTTCTATGTGTACTTTGTTGTGGAATCCTAATGTACAAACTTCCACAGTACTGGACTTCATGAACTGCCAGCATTTATGTACAGGTATGTCACAGCACCAGAACATAAAGAAAATCCAGCACCTGTACACTGACCCATCGCCCAGAAATAGGAAACCTGTGATGCAAAATCTTTGAACAGATGATCCACATGCAGTTATCCAAACAATTAACTAAGATTGAAATAGAATGTTACACAAATTACATTTTTTACTGCTTTTTTTCTCGAGAGATATTTAACTGCTAACTACTAAAGTAGTAAGGTACAAAGAATATATCCTATGTTCAAAGCTTTTGTCAATAAAATTACTCATTGACATTATTGCTTCTTAAACAATGATAATCTTTGTCTTATTAGAGCTGTGACCATGTCCCTAAAGGACATAACACTAAATTTTGATCTATTTCCTTTTCCCAGATATTTACTAGTGTCATCAAAAATATATTAAAGGTGTTTCAAAATTTGGTAAAAGTCATAACAAAAGTTTAGGAACACCCACATGAAAATGTCCTTAAGCTTTCACCTCCTGCAAACCAGTGTGCAATTTAATATGAAGCTCATTTTCCAAATAACCATCAACAAACCTTGGACAATTTGTCCTAAACCAACATCTTAATCATTACTACTTTGGCTCAGTCTTCAAGTATTGGTAACCAACTCAAAAGCTGATGATTTCTAAGAAGTATTACATCAAATCTGGTTAAAATATATATTTCATTATTCATTCCAGTTAGATGAAAAGTCAACTGAGAATTTTTAAGTTATTCTGTTCCAAGACCGAATAAGCCTTTTGGTTTTTCAAATTCTCTGGATGTTGAAATAATTTATTATGAGTTATGATACTAGTAATCACCAAAGATATCTTAAAGCAGGAGCCATCAAGTTAGTTAGTACCAAGTGATTCTTTGCCATGATATAGTATTTGATTTCCTAGTTCTGCCTTTTAAAATCACATGCCAGTCAATTAAGTAATTATTTATAATTGATTAGATTATTATTATTTATTTTATTACCTTTCCACGTTTACTAAAGGACGCAAGATTCTTAAAACATACTTTGCCATCATTTCCAGTGAATTGATTAAAATGACAGTTATGTTATTACTCCTAAAATGTACAAGGCCTTCAGATTGTGCTTTTGAAACTTTAAAACATCCTAAAATGTGTGACAAATGTAGGCAACAATATCAACCACATTGTTCTCTAATGTACCAAGTTTTGCTATTTCGGTCGACCCTAGCCAAAATCAGATCGCTGTCAGATTTGTTTACATTGTTTACAAGACTTGCAAAATCTTAAACTGCTGTTTGTTGTCATCTATTGGTAATGATTTTGCACGTATGTGCGAAAGTGTGGAAATTCATGCAAATTCTCACCTTCGAGCATGCGATGGTGACGACATTTAACTGATCGTGAGAACTATCACACGCCTTGATCCGCCTCAAATCTTTTGTCTTGGTCGTAATGGCTGTGTTTAATGTACACAGGAAATCACAGCAATATGTGGTAGATATAGCGAGTGTGAGGCACAATTCGAAGCACATCGCTTCTGAGGCATCGTTTGATCCCGGAAATACGTCTGACAAATCCACAAAGCCCGCCCGGCCTGCTGATTGGCCAAAACTGACGCATCCGCCAGTTTTGATTGACAGACTGGATCGGTCTCTTGTTTATAGACCACGTCGCAAGCTGAAATACTGCTGAATGCGGCTTCAAACAAATACATACTGAGCAGAGATTTCTTGTGGACAAGGAAAGAGTTTGGTCGTTTCTATTTTCTGTTTCAAGTTGTTGTTTGCGTTGAAAATAACTTAGTTCTTAGTTTAATCAGTGTATCCATACCTTGTTTATGTAAATACAAATATAATCACACTGCGAGTTGCCTGTGTTTTGTTAAAAATGACTATAATTGGCTACGCACGACTGCAGTGTTAATTGTACTTTCGACGTCCCACAACTGAAACTTGGTTTAGTGTGTCCATGCAAAGTGTGCAAAGTGTGTCCATGACATTTCGACAAAGTCACACGACAGAGCCTCAGAAGACATATACAAGGTCAAGATTGACACTCTTTTTATTGTATGTTGGGCTAAATTTAATTTCTATCGAATATTACAGGAAATTGCTGCAGAATTAGTGATGAGGGCGTAAAGTGTTTGAAAAGTCTGCCTGTGTCATTGTTTTGTTTGCATTTTAAACTTGTGATGAACTATAGTCAGAAGAGATAAAGTCCCCTGGCAATATTTTGTGTTTTACCAGTTACTGATGCTTACAATGAAAACCCTTATTGAACTGAAAATTCTTATTACCTTGGATCACAACTGGACACGTTATTTTCAGACTACTCAAATTACACACATAACGTAAGTTGTAAAACTAATACTCGACATTTCAAGCACTTCGGTGAAGCCAGTTTGTACGCATAAATTATATTAGTTGAAAGGTTGGTCTATCAGAATGCGTAGTAACAATTATTGTATCTTTTCCTTAAAACTGTTCATTTTTCAGATCAGTCTCAGTACCAGCTTACAAAAAAGCCAGCATGGAGCAAAAGCTAGGCAAGAGTTACAGAGACTCCAAGACACTTCAAAGGGACCAACAAACTGCAGAACCTATTTGTAGTCTCATCCAGACGCAGACTGGATCTGATGTTGACCAGGTACATCGGATGGAAGACGATGACGTCCAACACCTGGACGTGTCCCCGAGGCGACAACAACATCCACAACAACAGGCAACAAATGCAGCAGTGTCAACTACAGGTGCAGTAGTTTTTTTATTATGGGTGTTGTTTTATTATTTAGTCGGGTTTTTTTCTGTCTAAAATATAGCATAAATGCGTGTTTGGTTTCGGTAATTAAAGTATGATATGAAATGAAAGAAATACAATGTACAAACTATCATGAATCCTCGTGGTGGGTTCTTATTAAAGGTTGCATATCAGTGTTTCTATTCATACCTTAAAGAACCAAAACTTACATGATCAATCCTTGTAGTGAAGTTGAACAACGGAAACTACATAGAAACAATTATATAATATAAAAATAGCAGGAAACTCAAAGACTGATAAGCATACTGGGCAAAGGAATGCATACTGTGGCGTGGCGTGTATCAGAAGGTTGTGTAATGTATACACATAACTTGACACGCCCACAAAGTCAGTAGCCAGTCAACGGAGAGTAGCATCAAACCTGGGTTCACAGAAACTGCCAATCGTGTTAAGAGATGAGAAGCACTATAACAGTCAGACTGTAATGAACCGGAACAAATATGTCAGGAAAAAGACGTCTCTTTCAAACGAGGTGGTCAAATTCAAGCACTGGTTTCCTGAAAACGGGTAGACCTGAAGAAAACAACCCACAGACATGTAATTTGTGTAAAGAGACGAACGGTGAAAACATGCGCACGAGCCTGCAGGCCCCACAAGTATGGTATTTTATTCCTTTAAGTGGTTTGAGCGATCCAGAATATTGTGATGGCCATCACGAAGATTTACATATTATTCCTGTATTTTAATTACAAAATGTATAAGTTTTAAAAGCTTGTAAATAGTTAGGCATCATAACATATTTCTTTGGTATTTCCTATTTGTATCTTTTATAGTTTATAGCAGTGCAGAAATTATTATTATAATTATCCTGAAATTAAAATAATGAATATCGTTATCTCGTAATTCAGTGTTTTGCTGTGTTGGTAAGAAATATCGTTATTCATTATAACATAATACTAAAATACATATTTGACGACCTTCCTATTAAACCAAGACTAAACCTTAAACGGGTTTAGTTCTGCTGAAGTTTGAGATTTGGGCAGACTGCCGAACGCTGACAATACAAGATGGCGTCTGATGTATGGCAATGTCGATTAACGATGTCCACTGCGACTTTGGGTCGAAAAAAACAGAAAAGGATTTATTGAGGCCTTGCAAATGAAAGGCGTTGTCCGACAATAATGCCCTCTAGCTTTTCTACGTGCCGTGTAGGTTGCCCACTTTGATAGGCTTTTGTAACAGCTGTCATGTACCTGTTTACAATCATTAAGAGCTGAAAAAATCAGAAATATAAATCTTACCTTGTCCTTCAACCTCAGTTCTTGACGCCTGTTGATTATCCATTCTTTCGTTAATTTGTGATCGGTGCCGAGAAGTGCACTCAGTAGTGTTCTTACTATAAACACAACGAACCCAGAAAATTTGATACATTTATCATGATGGACAACGGGAATATGTGATTCTTGCTGTTGTATAGTTTAGCATCGTTATATACAGTGTACAAATGTAGAAGCGGCTAGTCATGGTGTTAAACATCAGATGTGAAATAGATTGCCTCCTGACGTCTGTAATGTTCTTCTTTGAGATTCCCAGCCTCTTGTTGTTATTCTCACGACGTAGGTTATCGTATGATATTTGAGGGACGAAAGGATTTGTCCCAGACTGCCCCCCCGCCTTCCTCTTTAAATGTGTGTGGATTCGTAACGTAATCGAAGATTGGTCTGATGAGATCAATGAATCCACTTTCTGACAGTCCATTAGCATTCATGACTTTATATAAGCGTCCGATTTAAAAATATGATTAATGGGAATACGTTACCTCCTTTAATTAAGCAGCAGTATGTGAATTTTCTCACAACTATGCATACAAGTATGTATGCAGACATGTTCATGATGGATGGATGGATGCATGCACGCATGTAGGTTCATTGTGTGTGGTGGGTGGGGATTGAACCCAGTGGGCAATTTTCTCTCAAGTGTAACACTGGTTCATTTACAGATGCCCTCATTTTATTGTGTATATAGAGATGTTGGGTTTTGTAAATGCATGCTCAATGTAAAACATTTTGCATCAACAGACATAACATGTCATGTGTTCAAGTATCACACCTGCCTGTCTGTGTGTGTGACAGAGACCGAACTTCGGGCCATAAATCAATGCATTTTGTTTATGGTGTATAGCCTGATGGGTGTTAAGTTCAAATTGCATGTGGTTAGTGATAAAGTAGCTGTGTATTGAATATTGTCATTAGCAGACAGGTGCAGACACACGTGTTCAAGACATGCAGTTTTGTCTGTGACAACGTATGTATATGTATGTATCAGTTGCTGTATCGAACGTACGTAAATAATGTTTTAACTATTTTATTTTTCATATATATATTCAAGTAATGTAGTGTACGTGTTCGTAGGCGTACAATTGGCCTGGTGCTGTTTTAATGTATTATATAATTCATGTTAATGTTCGTACCACAGTATTATAAATTTTGTGCATGCAACACTTAAATAAAATAATTTTCTTCTTCTTCTCCTATAGGAATCGCGAATCATTCAACATCCCGTGGCTTAATTCTATTCAGGTTTTGCTTTGGTTTTATCTGTTACAGTTTAATCAAACCTATGCTTTCAATTTTCTTATCATAAAGGAGTGAATGCACGGATATCGTCTGCATGGCTGTTCTCACTGCTTGTTACCTCCATATTCTATTTTCCTAGTGCTGGGAGACGTGAACGTCGCCATTGGCTCTGGAGGTGGAACCATGTCTTCAGGTGAGAAGATCATTCTGTATGGCTCAGTGACGTTAGGGATAACATATGACTGTTTTTTCAATATTTACAATAAGTCTGAGGGAATGTTAAGTGTTTGAGTGATACTTGTTGATGTTATTTACTATTTTCATGTATTTGCTTATAGAAATGTACATGTGTAAATTTAGATGGCATTTTTGATTTCTATCTGTAACACCAACCTCAATCTTCCCAAAGAATACCACAATGTAAAAGACAGTCAGTTGTTAATTTGGTTGTAACTGTGTTATACATGACGATAAAACTCCTTTCAGCAAATTTACAAAGTTCAATGGATGCCATCTTATATTATGTAATGGAAACAAGCCTTGTCAACAATCCTAACAAACATAAATACATTGCCAATGTTCGGAATTCTCTGATGACCACAAAGAACCACCACTCCTGCGATTAGAGTGAGATGGGGTGAGATAGGTGGTGATAGAGGTTGACACGTTGTAATCTATGTACCTTCCGTCACAAAGACCCTTTGCTTATTGGAAATACTTCAGCGATTTAAGGCACGTGTTGTATCAATCACGTGCATTAAATATAATGCCAGTGTTAGCTGATCAAAGTTTCCAAGACTGACATCTGGTCTAGGACCCCGATATCTCGCTTATATCAACCAGTAGTCGGTCAATATGTGTGAATAGAGCTCATACTTTGGAATTAATATCAAACATGACAGGTGGGTTACACTACTGCTTATATTGTGTATGGCAAAAACTGCTGGTGGTCATGAAGTTTGAAATTAGTTTTACATCACCTACTGAGAAAATATCAGGTCATTCTTTTCACTTAGGGTAAAAAAGGTGAAGGTTCCAATACAAGTTCCTCTGTTTACTTACTGTTACGGCAATACCCACTGTCCTCAAATAAGAAGGGAGCACCTGTAGGGTTTCAAAGGGATCAATGGCGTACTGCAGGGTAGTCTGGATCTGCCCTAAACATACATGATGAAATAATAAACATCATTGGTAGGGGCAATATAACGGCACTAAATAACAATAATACTAACATTTTTCTTCACAGTTCATACCTTGTTTGCAACATGCTTTAACTAATCCCTTCGATCAGATAAAACATATCACGCCTTATATATCATGCACATGCCATAAATCATAACTATCCTACCTCGTCTCAGGGACGCTGACTCCAACGTTTCCACAGATACGCGGTGATTATGCTGCACAAATGAATATACAATGTACAAGTGTAGTATAGCCACAGTTACATTCGTATGTTTGGAATACAAACAACATAAATTATGTAATCTTTTTGTATGTATATTACACAAAGTACACTTGGCTTATGCCTCTGTCAAATATACGTTGGATGGAGAACAATATCGCAATACAATGCTAGCTAAAATACCATATGTAACAACAATGCTTAACATGCATAACCTAAGTTTCCATATTGATAAAGTAACAATTAAATGAACTTACCTGATTCAGCGCAGAGAATGTGCTGTTTACACGTCAAAAGGCAATGTGCCGAGTGGTCAACAAATGTTCTGACCAGTGTAAACACATGCTTGAAAAGATCATGCAAAACCAGAGAACAACAGAAACCAAATTACAGGCCAAGTTTGTGACCAGCCCAGTGGCAATAACCATGAACTGAAAAAACTAAATAGCTGAACTACCCAAGCTATCTACAGAAACAAGCTAACATGAAGTAGAATATTCATGCAAGATTTGAAGTGAACACAAGTATTTAAGGAAATATATGTTAAATATTACGGTTTAGTTTATTAATTTAATTTATGTTAGTTTACTATGACAATGCTTTAAAATCTAACAATATCCCTTTTACAAACATACTGCTACATGACAATGGCATATTTCAGCAACATGTCTATCCGTATGAGTATACAGAACGATATGACCTGTACTCAAATAACCTTGAGCAGTCCGTTTGAAACGAATTATTGACAATATCATATATACATGTTCCAGAAGCCACGGACTGGAAAATAGAATCAACTCGGGAAGTATTTGTACAGACTGACAGTTTCCAAAAGGTGGAGTCGAAGCTGATTGAACATGGACATTTGACTATCACGGGCGCCTCAGGAGAAGGAAAGACAAGCATGGCTCTGATGCTTGGTGATAAGTACAAGAAGAAAGGCTTTAAATTGGTATTTGTTGACAATATTGACAAGTTTGATCTTGCTGCCTGCGTCAAAGATGGACAACCACTGTTCATTGTTTTTGATGATTTGTTTGGAACCGGTTCATCTGCAGAGATTTCAAACTTTAGAAAGGTTCTGACATCACTGGACGAATTCATCAAACACTTGACTCGGTCGTCTGAAACGAAAAAGATGACACGACAGCAAATGAAGACAGGGCAAGGTCACATACTAGGACTAGGAGGTGTTAGACCAGATCATGACATGCTTCCACAAGTAAAGGTGAAACAACATTTAAACCTATACATTGTGTTTACGAGTAAATCATACAACTTTCAAGAAGTAGTACCTCGGCTAGGAGGACAACAGTTTACTTTCTTCAAGCCACAGACTGTTGTTGATGTGACTAGAACGCCTCTTTATCAATATTCTGTGGCCGAAAAGAAGGCAATATTTAGAAAGCACCAACAGAGTAAGGGACATGACAAACAGGTTGACCTAGACCAAATATGCAGCTCCAAAGATAGCTTGTTTGGCTTTCCTATGACATGTTCCCTGTATGCTAGATTGCTTGACTACCAAAGTGATCCTCTTCAATTTTTCCTTAATCTTCTGACCTACTTGCGGCAAGAAATAGATTTGATCATGGGATACAAAGGAACGAAATCAGCGGCCCTCATCCTCATGGTCCTGTATAATGAAAAGCTCGATCTGAGAAAGTTGGAGAAGAAATCTGACGACCACCATCTTGAGGCAAACCTAAGAGCAGTGGAAACCATTCTCCCAGGAATCACCAGGGCAGAAATCTACGAATCTGCTAAAAGGCTAAGAGGAACCTTTTTTCTTGAAGGAGACACAACAGCATTTTCTCATCCATCCATTCTTGATGCATGCCTATGCTCTGTTTATGATCTCCATCCGACTCTTGTTCTTACCAACTGCAGTATGCAGTTCCTATATGAAAGGGTGAATTCGAACCCAGTACCAGCCACAGCAATAGACACCTACACTAACATCATCTTTGTGTCAGAACACTACTATGATATAGTAGCTGCAAGAATAGCAGAATCAGTATTAAGAGGTGAATACAGATGGTGTATTTCCCATCCATTGCTACAAAATGAACCGTTTGCTAAGAGAGTTCTTGAAGATCCGAATGTTAAACAATGGGTTAAGACAACTGATTTTCCTTCTCCGGATTGTGATGATAAACATTTAATCTACTGGGCAGTACTCTCAAAGAGTGAATACATAGTGAGGACCGTCATACAGCTTACAGATCACATTTTCTCAGAGAGAGAAATCAAGTCAGCTCTTGATGCCTCAATATTGAGTGGCAGCATGGCAGTAATGGAGGTATTGTTCACTGCGTTTGAAGACAGGATACCTCAAAACACTGTTTCCGAATTGTTTCTTGATGCTGCAGAAAGGGAACACATTGAAATGGTAACGTTTCTACTGCAGAAAGGGGCGGACATAACAAAAACGAATGAAGATAAGGACAACATTTTCCATGTAGCAGCTAGAAGAAATAATATCGGGATAGTAGATGTTGCACTGGTATACACTGAACAGCGTATCCTTGTGAACAGCCGAAACAAAAACGGCACGACACCCATCATGGAAGCTGCTTTGACCGGTTTCATGAGTGTATTTTCCAGATTATTTGAGCATAAGGCTGATCTCACCCTGCTTGATGACGAAGATGAAGGTGTATTACACTATGCTTCTCGAGGTGGTAACACGTCTATTGTTCAACACCTTATCCCAGTATGTGACATTAACAAGAGAAGGCGTGATGGTCGGACCCCAGTCATGCACGCAGCTGTGTGTGGTCAAAAAGACGTTTTTGACTTACTGGTGTCCAGTGCAGCTGATCTCACCCTGGTTGATGACGAAGATGGCGGAGTGTTACATTATGCTTGTCAAGGTGGTAACGCGTCTATTGTTCAACACCTCATCAGAATTTGTGATATTAACAAGAGAAGGCGTGATGGTCAGACCCCAGTCATGCTGGCAGCTGTGTGTGGTCAAAAAGACGTTTTCGACTTACTGGTGTCCAATGCAGCTGATCTCACCCTGGTTGATGACAAAGATGACGGTGTGTTACATTATGCTTGTCAAGGTGGTAACACGTCTATTGTTCAACACCTCATCAGAGTTTGTGATATTAACAAGAGAGGGCGTGATGGTCAGACCCCAGTCATGCGCGCAGCTCTGTGTGGTCAAAAAGACGTTTTTGACTTACTGGTGTCCAATGCAGCTGATCTCACCCTGGTTGATGACGAAGATGGCGGAGTGTTACATTATGCTTGTCAAGGTGGTAACACGTCTATTGTTCAACACCTCATCAGAGTTTGTGATATTAACAAGAGAAGGCGTTATGGTCAGACCCCAGTCATGGTGGCAGCTCTGTGTGGTCAAAAAGACGTTTTTGACTTACTGGTGTCCAATGCAGCTGATCTCACCCTGGTTGATGACGTAGATGGAGGTGTGTTACATTATGCTTGTCAAGGTGGTAACGCGTCTATTGTTCAACACCTCATCAGAATTTGTGATATTAACAAGAGAAGGCGTGATGGTCAGACCCCAGTCATGCGCGCAGCTCTGTATGGTCAAAAAGACGTTTTGACTTACTGGTGTCCAATGCAGCTGATCTCACCCTGGTTGATGACAAAGATGGCGGAGTGTTACATTATGCTTGTCAAGGTGGTAACACGTCTATTGTTCAACACCTCATCAGAGTTTGTGATATTAACAAGAGAAGGCGTGATGGTCGGACCCCAGTCATGCTGGCAGCTGTGTGTGGTCAAAAAGACGTTTTTGACTTACTGGTGTCCAATGCAGCTGATCTCACCCTGGTTGATGACGAAGATGGCGGTGTGTTACATTATGCTTGTCAAGGTGGTAACACGTCTATTGTTCAACACCTCATCAGAGTTTGTGATATTAACAAGAGAGGGCGTGATGGTCGGACCCCAGTCATGCTGGCAGCTCTGTGTGGTCAAAAAGACGTTTTTGACTTACTGGTGTCCAATGCAGCTGATCTCACCCTGGTTGATGACGAAGATGGCGGAGTGTTACATTATGCTTGTCAAGGTGGTAACACGTCTATTGTTCAACACCTCATCAGAATTTGTGATATTAACAAGAGAGGCGTGATGGTCAGACCCCAGTCATGCTGGCAGCTCTGCATGGTCAAAAGACGTTTTGACTTACTGGTGTCCAATGCAGCTGATCTCACCCTGGTTGATGATAAAGATGGCGGAGTGTTACATTATGCTTGTGAAGGTGTCAAGATGGAAACGGGTCTATTGTTCAACACCTCATCAGAGTTTGTGATATTAACAAGAGGGGGCGTGATGGTCGGACCCCAGTCATGCTGGCAGCTCTGTGTGGTGAAAAAGACGTTTTGACTTATTGGTGTCCAATGCAGCCGATCTCACATGAAGATTACAGTGTGTTATATTATGCTATTGAGGTTTGTAACACTTCTGTTGTTTAACACTTTCGTCAAAGTTTGTGATATTAACAAGAGACGGCGTGATGGTCGGACCCCAGTCATGGTGACGGCTCTGTGTGGTCAAAACACGTTATAGACTTTTTGGTGCCTACGAAGCTGGTCTCATTCTAACTAGCAGCGGTGATATTAGTGTATTGGTTGCAATGCGTCTATTCTAACATTAAAATAAGAGAGAAGGGTAGGACCGTAACCTACAGCCAGTTGTTTTCTGAAGGATGAATATGATTTGTAATCAACAAAGCTTCGTCTTGCAATGTGTGAAGCCCATTTCTGGTGTCCCCCCGCCGTGATGTTGCTGGAATATTGCTAAAATCGGCGTGAAACCAAGCTCAGTGAGTCGTCGTGACCATTCTTTGAAATGCAAGATCTGGAAAGACAATATTTTCTCTTGTTAGAAGAAAACCACAGCAGGGCACGGTTTATGACGGGACGGTCACCCACGTGTGCCTTCACGCCACTTCACCCGCTTACAGAAAAGTGACTTTACTGAGAAGTAACAAAATGTGAAAAATAATTCTTTAATGTGAGTTACCTATTCCACATTTAAAAAAATAAATAAGTGTTTTCATGCATCTAAAAATTGTTTTGTTTGCCTGATTAGTCGCATGTACTAAGGATTGCTATGTTTATGTCAAACCATTCTGCAGTTTGTAAAGTTGATCCTGACGTCATTGACAAAATTATTTAGAAGATTATTGGTTAGATGTACCAATTTGTTGTAAATGCCTTTGATGTTGGTTATTCTGAGAATGTCCATGCTCGATTGTATGTTGTATACCTGTTCATGTATGGTTGTTCCAAGATTACTATCAATCTGTTATATAATGTCCTTGGGTCGGACAAGTGACTGCACATCTGAGACAGATATTTTAAACTGAATATTCCGGGAGATGTATTCATTAGTGTGCCTGCACAGCACCTGATTCAGATGGAATATCGTGGAAGGCTGCAGAAAGACGTGATCACGACCAAGTATCGTCATCAACTGGGATGAGAGAGTGATGTGAGACGAGCTACGTCTGTAGTGACAGACATCACTTCTGTAGACTCTGTTGAACGTTGACTTTGCGACATATTTGGACGTTCCCTGTGTGTTAATGTGAACATTCCGAACAGTGACGTTCCATAGCGCTGCGTATGGTGTACTCTTTAATGCATATGAGCCATGTTATTATATGGATACTGTAGTGGTGGGAAAAATGACGTTCTGTAATATACCCCTTTGTGATGTATTCTTTAATGTATGTGAGACATGTTATCATATGTATACTGTAGTGATGGGAACAATGACGTTCCTTATATACCACTGTGTGGTGTACTCTTTAATGTATATGAGCCATGTTATCATATGGATACTGTAGTGATGTGAACAATGACGTTCTGTAATATACCCCTGTGTGGTGTATTCTTTAATGTATATGAGCCATGTTATCATATGGATACTGTAGTGATGTGAACAATGCCGTTCTGTAATATACCCCTGTGTGGTGTATTCTTTAATGCATATGAGTCATGTTATCATATGGATACTGTATTGATGTGAACAATGACGTTCTGTAATATACCCCTGTGTGGTGTATTCTTTAATGTATATGAGTCATGTTATCATATGGATACTGTATTGATGTGAACAATGACGTTCTGTAATATACCCCTGTGTGGTGTATTCTTTAATGTATATGAGTCATGTTATCATATGGATACTGTATTGATGTGAACAATGACGTTCTGCAATATACCTCCCTGTGTGGTGTATTCTTTAATGTATATGAGTCATGTTATCATATCGGATACTGTATTGATGTGAACAATGACATTCTCTATATATACCAATGTGTGTGTGTATTCTTTAATGTATATGAGTCATGTTTTCATATGGATACTGTATTGATGTGAACAATGGCATTCTGTAATATACAATGTGTGTGTGCATTCTTTAATGTATATGAGTCATGTTATCATATGGATACTGTATTGATGTGAACAATGCCGTTCTGTAATACACTCCTGCGTGGTGTATTCTTTAATGTATATGAGTCATTTTATCATATGGATACTGTATTGATGTGAACAGAGACGTTCTGTAATACACTCCTGCGTGGTGTATTCTGTAATGTATATGTACAGTGACGTTCTTTAATATCCCACTGCGTGATGTATTCTGCTATACATCTGAACCATGTCATATAGGAGTCTCGTAGATAGTCTATTGATGTGAGCAGTGAAGTTCTGTAATGTGGCCCTGTGTGATGCATTAATCGTGTTATTATGGAAATACGCTCTTGTTGCGATGATGCAATGTATAACCAACCATACAATGTGATGTCGTTGGTGTTTTTCCTTCTGCATGGGTGGAGTCAATGATATTCCCTTATCATACAACAAGTGAAAGCTGAGAACCTAACAATTGTAGGGACATTTCTCAGTTGTCCGAAATTTAGAAATATTTACTAAAATATTCTGACTGGTGGGAAACAGAAATTACTTGCTGTGAGCATCAAAGTGGCAAACGGAAGAGGTTAAATATTACAGACAGTATGTTTGATCTGCAATGAATATCAGAAGGACACTGCCATTGTCATTACAAAATGATATATGAATACAAAATTTAAAGTTATCACATCCTTGGTCGTCAAATTAAATATTCTGTTTTGGATGATAAACATTCACTATCAGAGTATTTTACGTGTCAAGTGGGACCTAGACAAGGATGCATAATTAGTCTCGTGTTTTCCACTTTGTCTTTATTTAAAAATAATTTCAAACTTAACAAATGTAAGGATTCTTTTGCCATTGCGTTTGCGGAAATTATTACTTCATTATTGTTGATACTTGTGACATGCATCCTCTCAAAGTGCTTTAGAGCAGTTATACTGACTGGATTCTTGCGCTATATACGTTCTTAGTTGATGATGATGATGACGACGACGATGTTTGAACATGAAATGGTGGGCTAGGAGGGTATCCTTTATATGTATCATATATGTATAGTCTTATAAAATATTAGTTAAAGTTCCATAAATGCCCGCAATGACATACCCCAAGGCCTGCTATTTTATTTTTTTATTTTGTTTTTGTTTTCATTCTTGTTATTGTTCCCATGAATGCAAGTACATGTATAGTTATATGTGTATATACATTGCTGATACATCAAATATATGTATATATTGCATATCAATTCTCAGAGGTTAACCATGGTAATTCTGGATCAAATATTGGGAATAGAGGAGACCATGTTTTGAGAATTCATCCAAAGCCATATTTCTTTAGGATATATGTTTTTCCAACAAGAATATGTCTTTTACAATCTTTATAAAAAAAATTCTTAAGTTTGCAATTATTTTTCTAGGGTGCAATTTAGAAGTGTCTCTGAGCGGAAAATATTATGTGGTAAAGTAGAAGGATAGTACTTAAAGTACCAAACAAAACGTGAAATTTTATCAATTGCGTTTCCTGTATGTTTTGATTAATCTAAATTCGACGTTCTTTCGAATTTCTTACCCTCACAGTCCCTATATATATGACAACTGTTTTCATTAGCTTCATTGTAGAAAGAACATATTAAATCGTCAACCAGTTTCATTTTTAAAAGTTCCTTTTGGTATAAACAATTCCATGCAAAAACTTAGATTGAAAATCTAAAAGTTTAAGACCTTATGCAATTTTTGCTATATCGATTAAAGATCAAGGTCCATTCAAGATCAATATCTTTGAATAATTTTCCCATATATGTCAGATATATTGTATAACACTATCAGATAGCAATTTATCATAAAATTTTCTTGAACCTTTTATTGAAATAATGAAATCTTTCTGTAAATGGTTGATATTAAGGTGATTGTATAAATATATCTGTATCCTTTTAAGGTCTTTTTCCATGATTCACGTAAAATATATAAAATTTATTCATGATCTAAATATGTACCCGTTATCCAATATGTATTTCGCAAATCTTCAAAAGAGACCAAACCTTGTTCACCGTACAGTAGTCAAAATTCCTTTCTTTGCCCAGTTAGTCCAGCGGATAATGGTATAATTATGCATTTTCATGTTACAAGCATGAAAATTGGCAGATATGTTGCTTATACTATAAAAATAAGATACAGATAGGGAGGCATTGAAAATTCAAGATGGCCACCATTTTTCACTCAAAATTACACCGTCAGTGACTTAGATTCCATGTAAATTCCAGACTTTTCATACAAGATGCATGAATTAGGGCAGATATGATGCTTGTACTAAAAATATATATTATACTGATAGGGAGACGTTGAAAATTCAAGATGGCCACCATTTTTCACTCAAAATTACACCGTCAGTGACTTAGATTCCATGTAAATTCCAGACTTTTCATACAAGATGCATGAATTAGGGCAGAAATAAAGCTTGTACTATAAACATAATATACAGATAGGGAGACATTGAAAATTCAAGATGGCCACCATTTTTCAAGATGGCCGTCATTTTCCACTCAAAATTGCACCGTTAGAGACTTAGATTCAATGTATATTACACAATTTTCATACAATATGCATGAAATTTGGCAGTTATGTTGCATGTACTATGAAGATAATATACAGAGAGGGAGGCATTGAAAATTTAAGATGGCCGCCATATTTCAAGAAGGCCGCCATTTTTCACTCAAAATTACACCGTTAGAGATTTATATTCAATGTATATTCGACAATTTTCATACAATATGCATGAAATTTGGCAGTTGTGTTGCTTGTACTACGAAGATAATATAGAGGGAGAGGGATAAGAGGGAGACATTGAATATTCAAGATGGCCACCATTTTCCACTCAAATTACACCATCAGAGACTTAGATTCAATGTCAATTCCACAATTTTCATACAATATACATGGAATTTGGCAGATAAATGTATGTTGCT